GTTGTGCCCGAGGTAGATGCACGTCAGGGTCTTGGGACCGAGCTTGCCGCCGTGCTGCCGTCGAGCCTGAGGGTTGAGGAGGACATAGGCGGTGCACCCCCAAACGCGAAGAGAGCGAGCAGTGGGCGTTTTCCCGAGCCAGAGTGTGGTTGGAGTGGTGTCAAGAAGATGCGGGTGGGGGTAAAGGTTGTAGAGGAGGGCGGCGTGGTAGAGAGCGTACCCCCAGAGAGAGTGCGGAGCGTTGGAGTGGCTGAGGAGGCACCGAGTGATCTGCACCAGGGTGTGGTTGCGGCTCTCAGCTATGCCGTTCTGCTACGGGCTGTCAGGGAGGGTGAAGTTTTGCTGGATGCCTTCAGAGGAGCAGAAGGCTTTGAGCTTGTCGTTGCAAAACTCACCACCACCATCTGAGTGGAGGCGCTTGACTTTGCGCTCAAAGGTGGTTTGTGCCTGTTTAACCCACGCCATGAGGCCCTCTGGAACCGCAGCCTTAGTGTGGAGGAGGTGAACAAAGACGTAGCGAGAGTGGTCATCGACGATAACAAGGAAGTAGCGATAACCACCTCGTGCGGGAACAGGGGCAGGGCCCCAGACGTCCAGGTGTACCAGGTCCAGTGGTCCTGCTGCGACAGAGGGTGAGGCCGGGTGGGGCTGTTGACGCAGTTTTCTCTTGGTGCAGTCAAGGCACGTGGGATCGGGGGAGTCTGGTGGTGGAGGAAGTGAGGCTGGCAGGCCGAGTAGAAGTTTCTTGGAGGCCATGTCAGCAAGTGTGCGGAAGTTTGGGCGCCCGAGCCGATGGTGGTAGAGTATGGTCGGGTTGGAGAAACTGCGGCACGAGCATGGTGAGGTAGTCGCCGCTGTTTGGGTGGTTGACACCTGTGGGATGGGTACTTGCAGCGTGTAAAGGCCGCTGCTGTTGAGGGTGAAACGAGTCAAGACCTTGTTGGTGAGTGGGTCGAGGATATCACCATAGTTCTCGTTTTCCCAGAAGATGGTGCGTATCCCAGCTTCCTAAATTTCCGTTTGGGCCACGAGATTGTGGCGGAGTGAAGGCACGCACATTCCAGTGACAGTGCCGGAAGGGAAGGCGGGGCACGGGACTGTGGATGAACCCTTGGCATGAGTGGTGAAGCTTGAGTCAGCTCCTAGGAGAGGGATGGGTGTTGCGTAGGGTTTGAAGGAGAGTGTCTCCTTGAGTACAGTCTGTGTGGCGCCGCTGTCGAGTGTGAACTCTACGTATTGTGGTGCTTGTGATGAGCTGAGGTACTGGGAGGAAGCTTCATTAATCATGGCAGTGCCAGGAAACAACAGGTTGATACGCACATCAGCAAGAGCACTATCACTAGCACTAGCCGAAGCGGGGTCCGGGACCTCAACTAGGTTGGCCTTACGAGGGCGCATCCAGTTTGGCGGCTTCTTGTCCACTCCGTGAATGGCATACCATTCGTCGTCTGTCTTCTTGAAGCACGTAGCAAGGGGGTGGTTAGTGCCACCACACACTTGTCCCTTGCGATTGCCACACTTAACGACATAGGTGCACGGAGGGAAGCGGTTGCGCTGGAAGGGCGCCGAGGCGAGAGCCGATGCGACACTTGCTTGCGGCATGGGAGCGCGGATGGCGTAAGCCTTGGCTTGAGCCGTGGAATCTTTCTCAGCAGAGAGGAGTGCGGATGAGACCTTAGCAAATGTGAGGTCTTCCGCTGAGAGCGTGAGGAGCATCTTCCTCGTTACTTCATATGCCGAGGTGAGACCAACAAGAAGGGCGGCTGCAGGGGCTTGTTCGGGGAAGACTATGCCCAGCTCCTTCAGTTCACCATGAATAGTCTGCACCTTGGCGATGTAGTCAGCCATTCCCGAGCAATCCTCAAGGCGGACCTGGAACATGCTGGGGATGAGGATGGCAACCCCGACCGCCGTTTTGTTCATGAACCGATCCTGGAGGTACTTCCAGATGGCGTTGGAGGTAGGGTAGTTGTGGAACGTGTTGACTAGTTCGGGAGGGGTGGAGGCAATGAAGACGCTGATGATAGCAGCATCTGCCTTCTCCCATTTCCGGTACTTCACAACAGCTTCCTCGTACGCCCTCATGTCAGTATCACTAGCGGATTCGGTCGGCTCAGGGGGGGGAGGGGGCTGTTTTCCTTTGCCACGGTTGAGGAGAACGTCTTTGAGGTCCAATCCCTGCACGTCACGACTCAGGAGATGCTTGTCAACCCTGTAGCTCCATGCCTTGAAGTTGGAGCTAGAGCCATCGGCTTCAAGGCGGAGCGGGGTGATGGGGTTGGCCATGGTGGACGAGGAGAAGGCCATGATGAAGGCCCCTTAATGTCTCGCGCAGAGCGCCGCTCTTAACTCACGAGCGGCGCGCAGCGCGGCGATTCCGAAATGCGATGGGTCCGAATAGGAGAAATCGTCAATGTCGGCCGCGTCGGAATGCCTTGTAGAGAGATTTTTCAGGCCGTCGAAATTAGGTCGAATCGGCCGATTTCTGTAGTACTAACTCTAATCCCACACACCCCCCCACACACCACCCTCAGCTTCGCGGCTACGCTGCTGCTCGGCTTCGCGGCTACACGGCTGCTCGGCTGCGCTGCTGCACCTGTTCAGCTGCGGGAAGGTGGGGGGGGAATGGGGGTAGGAGTGCAGATGCGGAGCGATGGGCGGCAGCCCGAAGGTGAAGCTGCAGGGCGACGGGCGGCGGCCCGACGAGAAGCTGCGGGGCGACGGGCGGCGGCCCGACGAGAAGCTGCAGGGCGACGGGCGGCGGCCCGACGAGAAGCTACGGGGCGACGGGCGGCGGCCTGACGAGAAGTTGCAGGGCGACGGGCGGCGGCCCGACGAGAAGAAGAAATGACGCGATGACGTTGATGAAAAAACGAGCGATAGGTTATAGCGCCGACGATGCGCTTACCAGTGAACTAGTAGATGTCGTCAAAGTGACGGGAAAGTGGTGCGGGAGAATTTCCGCCTATGAATGTCGCGAATCACCGGCGACGAGATTGAAGGTGGTTCCGCCGAGGTTTGCGGGATGAACATCCGCAGAGATAAGAGGATCACGATCCGCGTGTGCGGTTGACGGGCTCTGATACCATGTGAGAACTTAGGCTTAGAAGCGATACATTAGTAATGAGCTTGAAGCTCTATAAGTACATCCAAGAAGGGGAGGGAATGGATGGGGAAGCGAATCGGGGGCAATCCCTAGGGATTGGGGGTAATCCCAAGGCAATCTCCAATTGGTGGGTTGGAGATTGCTTGGAGATTACATTTGGGTTTGGTTGGGATGTAGGTGTACACCCAACCAAACACAATGTGCAAACTACACTACTCTAGGATATAGAAAATACGAAGTACAAAGTGTGAGATTGAAGGCTAACACTAACAGCGTCCACCTCCAGAAGAACAAAGAGGGTGCTGAGGAGGGCTGATCTTGCACCAACTGGCGGTCTCTGATGGGATTGAAGTGGTAATAGAAATAAAGCAGTGAGCAGCAGCTGGGATGTTTGTAGTGACAGTGGAAGAAAGTAGACTGATGAGTGGCAATTGAAGTGGTGATTAGAGCCGTGAGGCAGCAGCTGAGAGCGGTGAAGGAACAGAATGAATGTAGCACATGCACTCTCATGTTGTCTCTTGGGATGATAGGATGAAAGGAGCAGAGAGATTGAGAGAGTTTCACTGAGAAAGTAGGATAACCATGCAAGATTATCAGGGATGGGATGCGAGAAGCAGAAAGAACACTGTAAGAGAGAGTAACGGAGAAAGTAACCTGGTCATGCGTAACTCTCTGTTATTGCTTCCACTCCTTGCAATATTTGCCCATAATTCGCAAGGATAACTAAAAGGAGGAGTGGGAACAATAGTTCAGAGTGGGTCACGCTCATTGGGCACCGACCCACACAGCCCACTCACCCCTCTCACCCACACAGCCCACTCACCCCTCTCACCCACACAGCCCACTCACCCCTCTCACCCACACAGCCCACTCACCCACACAGCCCACTCACCCCTCTCACCCACACAGCCCACTCACCCACACAGCCCACTCACCCCTCTCACCCACACAGCCCGTTCATGCTGTGCTGTGCCCCCACCTGCTGCAAGCACTGTGCGACCACCTGCAGACGAGCAGAGAGGGCACCCTGGGGGGCTGAACCTAGGGGGACTGAGCTTGGGGGGCTGAGCTTGGGGGGGCTGAGCTTGGGGGGGCTGAGCTTGGGGGGGCTGAGCTTGGGGGGGCTGAACCTAGGGGGGATTAATCGCGTTGCTGCCTGCTGTGCCCCCACCCGCTGCAAGCACTGTCCGTTCACCTACAGAAGAGCAGAGAGGGCGCCGAGGAGGGCTGATTTTGCACGTACTGGCGGGGTCAGATGGGATTGATCATTGAAGTGGTAATAGAAATAAAACAGTGAGGCAGCAGCTGGGACCTTTGTGGTGGCAGTGGAGAGCGGAGAGGAAGAGGGGAGTGAGGTGGGATGGAACATTCGAACTCTTGTAATGTAGCACATGCACTCTCATGTTTTCTCTTGAGATGATAGGATGCGAGGAGCAGAGAGATTGAGAGAGTTTCACTGAGAAATTAGAGTAACCATGCAAGATATCAGGGATAGGAGGCGAGAAGCAGAAAGAACACAGTAAGAGAGAGTCACAGAGAAAGTAACCTGGCCATGCGTGACTCTCTCTTGTTGCTTCCATTCCTTGCAATATTTGCCCATAATTTGCAAGGATAACTGAAAGGAGGAGCTGGGAACAATGATTCAGAATGTGAAAAAGAGCATGATGAGGCACGATAAGGGATGATGAGGCACGATAAGGGATGATGAGGCACGATAAGGGATGATGAGGCACGATAAGGGATGATGAGGCACGATAAGGGATGATGAGGCACGATAAGGGATGATGAGGCACGATAAGGGATGATGAGGCACGATAAGGGATGATGAGGCATGATGAGGCATGATGAGGCATGATGAGGCATGATGAGGCATGATGAGGCATGATGAGGCATTATGAGGCATGATGAGGGGAGGGATGATGAGGGGAGGGATGATGAGGGGAGGGATGATGAGGGGAGGGATGATGAGGGGAGGGATGATGAGGGGAGGGATGATGAGGGGAGGGATGATGAGGGGAGGGATGATGAGGGGAGGGATGATGAGGGGAGGGATGATGAGGGGAGGGATGATGAGGGGAGGGATGATGAGGGGAGGGATGATGAGGGGAGGGATGATGAGGGGAGGGATGATGAGGGGAGGGATGATGAGGGGAGGGATGATGAGCCGTGGTATTGTATCTAACAGTCCCCCCTCCTTACTCCCACCTCCTCTGCTCTTTCAACAACTCTCCTAAGCCCTCCGCTCACCATCTCTTCCCCACCAGCAGCAGAACATCTGATGTGGCTTCAACTGCAAATGCCAGTATGCTCCTTCTCTTTCACCAACACCCTCTCGCTCATCTGCCTCCCCCCCACTCACCATCTCTTCCCCACCAGTAACAGAACATCTGATGTGGCTTCTACTGCAAACGCCACCTGCTGCTAAGGCAGGGCGATTCTGCCCGGTCCCAGTTGGGTGTACGCACCACTCGGGGGAGTGGGGCAAGGGGCGGAGGGGGAGAGAAAAAGGAGGAGGGGGTGTTGGAAATGAGAGTGAAGGACGGCGATGCTGCCAGGTTCCAGAGAGGTATACTCACCACTCAGGGGAATTGGGGTGGGGTGGGGGGGGGGGGGGGAGGGGGAGAGAAGAAGGGAGGAGGGGGCGTTGGGAATGAGAGTGAAGCATGGCGACCCTGGCAGGTGCCAGCTGGGTAAGCCTATCCTTTGTGCTTCTGCCTGAAGGAAAGAAGGCGGGAGTGAAGGGGGAGCCCCGGAGAGGAGAGGAGTGGGGAAAGCGAGTCTCTGAATGGCACTCTGCTGTGCAGCTTCAGCTCTGTCAAATCCTCTGGCAAGGCTGTCAATTGCTCACAGCCAGAGAGGCTCAGTGTCCTCAACCTGGTCAGCTGTCCAAACCTCGGAGGAAGGGAGGTGATGGAAGTATTGTATAGTCTCAGCACAGAGAGGCATCGAAGCTGTGTGAGCGATGATGGTAGCTGCTGCAGGGCCTTACAGTCTGTCAGATCCAGCTTGCGCAACCTGGATAATGCGCCGATCCCATCAGGAATTGAGGCCAGCTTGGGCGCAACGACCTCCAGCGATGTCAGGTGTTGGAGCTGTGAGATCGTTTCTGGCAGCTCCCGAAGCTCCTTGAAGTGGCATATCTGCAAATCACGCAGCTGCTGCAATGCGGAACCGATGCTTCCTGGAAGGGTTCGAATCCTTTCACCATGACAGATACTCAAGACGTGGAGTTGAGAAAGTGGGCTCAAGGGGACAGGAAATTCGTCAATGTTGTCTGCCAACCTCAGATTCAAGTGCCTTAGACGAGACGGCAGGGAAATCCGAGGCTGGAAAGTTCCCTGCTCATTGTTGTCCCAAATCAGGACCTCAAGGGAAAGTGGAAGTGCCACAGGAAACTCACAAAGTCGTCTACACCATTTTACGTCCAACCTCTTCAGCCCCACAAGGCTACTCAGCCTTCTTGGCAGCACAGAAAGCTGTTCACACGCTTCAATGGTCAAGGATTCTAGCCGCGTCAGCCCTGTAACAGACTCTGGAATCTCGTTGAGAGCAGAACAGTTCCGTATGCGGAGATGCTGCAGGTTAGTCATATTCTACAGACCTTCAAGAAGCTCGACAACTGAGCAATATGCAAGCTCAATACTTGTTAGAAAAACCAGCTGCGTGAGTGAAGGAGGCGGCTGCATGAATCCATGTAGCTGAAGAGTTTCCAGGTTAGTGAGGCATCCAATCCTCTCTGGAAGCACCATCTTCCCATAGCGCATGAGGCTCAGTTTCTTGAGAGATGTCAGGATGCAGAACTCTGCTGGCAGCTGCATCTTGCCACAGTCATAAAGGGACAGAGTCTCCAAAGAATTAGCTTGGCAAAGGGATTCAGGTAAGTCTAAACGAGGCAGGTTGTGCAGCATCAGTGACTTGAGGGCAGGAAACTCTTCGAAGTCGATGGGCAGGCTGGTAAGCCGGCGGCAGTTACAAATGGATAAGCACTCCAATGCGCTTAGGGAAGTGGTACTATCGGATAGTTGGTCAAGCTCATCACAATTCCGAATGGTCAGCTCACGGAGGCATGGCAACAGCTCTCCAATGTCATCCGGGAGTCGTCGAAGTTTGGTGGAATTGGTAATCACCAGCTGTTCTAGGCGAATGCAGGGTGATCCTGTAAAGAACATTGCATCGAATTTCGGACTGTTGAGCGGGAACTCGAGTGTCTTCAGATAAGGCGGCTGAGCAGCTGGAAATGTTGCAGATGGTGATTCATTCTTGAGGAGGCAGATTTCACTAGAGATCGAAAGTATGGAGAGTCTTGGGATACGAGCGAGGCTTGATAGTTGCTGATGTGTCAATTTCGAAACGGCAATATGGAGAGAAGTGAGAGATGAAAGCGCTGCAAATCTGGGAAATGTCAAGGCTGAAATGTCAGTCAGAAGAGCTGTGTGGAGATGCTGCAGTTGAAAGAAAGAACTCGGCAACTCAGCATCTTTATGGAGGCAGTGAAGCGAAATCTCCTCGAGGTGAGTACACTTCAGGAAAAACAAATCCAAGCCAGCTTCAGTAACTGGGTGCTCATTCTTGCTTCCTTCACACCTTTTCGGTGTGATCCTGAGACCCACGTGAAGAACTTTTAGCTTAGGCCGTGAGGAAGCAAGGCGAGATAAAAAAACGTTGTCAATTATCTCGACACTGCCGTCACTGAGATGAAGATTGGTGAGGTTGTCGAAACAAGCCACTGCGTTCGTCAGATCTTGACGAGAAATGACACGGTTTTCATGAACTGACAAGCAGGTGACTTGACGCTTAACGATGTCACGCCAGCGACTGCATACGGACGCGATGAGCAGATTAAAAGCTGGATCTGATAAGGCTGGATAAGTGAACTTGTTCGTTTTAAAATGCCAAGAAGGAAGCCAGTCCTATATAGAATTTGAATATTCTTGGACAGGCTCCTCTTTCCGAAACCATAAAATCCTGATAAGAAGATCATCTGAAAGTCGATCTATGTGTGAGAGACGCTCCATCTGAACTTCACGGATCGACCGCGGACTGCTAAGAAAGGTATGAAAAGAGATCTCCTTTCCCAGATATAGAATGACAAGGGATCAAGTCACTCGTATACGGATCTCACAATCCCAGCTCCTCGCTCCTTCTCTACTATAGAAAGTTGATAAACACGCAGCACCACCCGCTTGCTGACCTGCGGTTTGGAGGTGGGGAAGTACGCGCCGTGCTTGTGTTGTAGGAGGAGCTAATCTCACTGGAGATCCTTAGGCCATGTCGAAGCTGGGTACAACAGCTGACGTGTTTTCCTACTATCGTTTTCTCCCATAACTAAACCAGAGGAGATAGCAGACCAGAGAGCTTCATGGGATCCCCTCAGGGAGCCCAAGGTGGACTAAGCTGACTAGATCTCCCGCTGGACAGGAATTCATGTGACAAGGCTTGGGCTACTGAAAAATTCGCTCTCGGAAGATGTTCATTGGTCGTTCTCAGCAAACCGAAGTCACGATGCACGATGACGAAACCAGGCGACCTGATCGAAAATCCGGGTTTCCCGTCGGTGCGCGTTTTGATTTCGCAACCCTGACGGGCGTCGAACGCCCATTCATTCTCCGACAAATTCCCCGCCCAACCCCTCGAACCAATCTGTCGTTTATCAAGGATATCCGCGTTGTAAACTGGCTTCTGTATTGGTTTCGATCAGAATTACACCTGAGACAACACACATTTGCCAGTTTCTTCCAAAATCGAACCACACCTGGAACCTGAAAGTTTCTCCCAGACAACCTAGGTGACTAGGTCCCACGACAAAACCACGAAGTCCCAACCACTTCTCGCGCCACTAGCGCCATTTCGCACCCACTTCCACGTCCGGTTCCCCATGCCTCCTCGTCAACGACCAACTACGAGGCGCTCGTTTGCGCGAGAATCACTCTCAAGTCGCCATTGCCCAATTTCTGACGGTTTGCATCTGTGTTTCTGATGAGTCGACCGCGCCCGCAACGGAGTGGAGACGCGGAAATGGCTCCTTGTTGTCGCCACCGCGCCAACTCCGCCATCGCCTTCCGCTCTTCCCACTTAGCTGTCGCCGCCACGATTCCCTCTCGAAGCGCCCTCGCCTCTAGGAGACGACCGCTCCGCGCACCGCTCGCGCTGGCCCTCGGCGCTCTTCACTCCCTCGCTCTCAACTTCTTCGCTCTCCTCTGCCTTGTTCTGCTCGCCGTCTCCCCTCTCGCCTCCGCTCGCTCCCTCGACAATGCGCCGCCAGGTGAGCGATGGCCGGGCGACAGCAAGCGATAGTCGGGCGACATATGGCGAGGCGAGTGACAGGCGAGTGTACAGACGAACGTAAGACGAGCGACAGGCGGGCGGCAGTCGAACGACAGGCGAGCGACAGGCGAGTGAAAGGCGAGCGACAGGCGAGAGACATGCGAGCGACCGGCGAACGATAGGCGAGGGACATGCGGGCAATAGGTAGGCGAAAATAGGCCCCAGGTGTACATAACGCCGCGGGTGGCGGAATGGGGATGCACTGGCGAGCGACAGGCGAGCGACACACGGGCGACAGACGGGCGACAGGTAGGCGAAAAGGGCCCCAGGTGTACATAACGCCGCGGGTGGCGGAGTGGGGATGCACTGGCGAGCGACAGGCGAGCGACATACGGGCGACAGACGGGCGACAGACGGGCGACAGGTAGGCGAAAAATGCCCCAGGTGTACATAACGCCGCAGGTGGCGGAGTGGGGATGCACTGGCGAGCGACAGGCGAGCGACATACGGGCGACAGACGGGCGACAGGTAGGCGAAAAAGGCCCCAGGTGTACATAACGCCGCAGGTGGCGGAATGGGGATGCACTGGAGATGAGCGAGAGGCGGAGGAGAGGTATCGGCCTTAAGGGAAGATCTTTGAACCGGCGATGTATGTAGGCGTAAATGACTGCAGGTGTACGGGGAGCAGCGGGTAACGGAATGGGCTAGGACTGGCGGGTGTTGAGTCGACTCAAAACACGAGCGAGAGGCGGAGGAGAGGTATCGGCCTGAAGGGACGATCTTTGAACCGGCAATGTAGGCGTAAATGGCCGCAGGTGTACGGGGAGCAAGTTGACTTTCGAGTCGGCTCAAAAGTCAACTCGGAGGAGAGGCATTGGCCTGAAGAGAAGATCTTTGAACCGGCAATGTAGGCGTAAATGGTCGCAGGTGTACGGGCTGCGGCGGGTGACGGTATGGGCTAGGACTGGCGGGTGGCAGGCGGGCGACATGCGAACGACAGGCGAGAGACGGACGAGCGACAGGTGACCGACAGTCTAGCTACAGACGAGCGACAGGCGGACGGCAGGCGGACGGCAGTCGAGCTACAGACGAGCGACAGGCGGACGGCAGGCGGGGACAGGCGCCCCCCTCTCCCCACCCATTTCTCATATCATTCTCCTC